GAGTTAAGCGGTGTATAGATAGTGGATGGCTGGATGGATGGATGGATGGACAACAATCCATTTATTTTCATTATATTTTAGTAAAGAGTCGGTGGACCAGCTGGCACACTGTCGCGGCCCTGATCTGGCCCCTTGAGCATCAGTGATCTGAATGAAACACTGACTCATTCTGTCAGACAGAACGACCACACAAAGGTTTTCTCCTGGATATTACAGTCTGACTGGTGCCTTAATAAATGAATTAACCTTAATGACAGACTGTTGGTAAAATCTGACAATAAGTGTGTTTATTTATTTATTATTTACTGTAAATCTGCAGCTTTATCTAGAAATATTTACAGTTAAACCCCCCAAATTATTCATCTTCATGCCAAATTTGTATTTACAGTGGCTGGAAATGATATAAACAAGTGACAAAAGACAGTAGGACACTGTATTTTGGATGTAATTTTAAGTTTCTAACTATTTCTGAACACTGTGTCCAAAATTATTCATCCCCCATTGAATCTTTCTCCTCTAGACAGACATACAAAAACTCATCTGGACAAAAAACAACGCTTCGGTTCATCAGTTCTGTGGTCAGATAAGATGAAAATGTGCATAAATGTCTTGTGAGAAAGACGAGAAAATAAAATACCATTTAAAAAAAATGCTTTTAAAGAATAATGGCAATTAATATCCCACCTTATAATGCAAACTGCAATCGATTACTACAGATGGACATCCACATCTTTAAACAATTTCTTATTTTAGATTTATGTCAGACTTGATTTAGGTGCAGAGAAAGTTCCCATTGAACATTTTGTGGATTTCATATTTCCAAAAACACAACCAGACAGTCTCTTTGCTTTGTAAAATCTTTATTTACTTAGAAATGATCTAAACTGCTTTAAAACCTAACAAAATATCTCACTTTTTAAATGTGTCTTATTTAAAATCTAAACCTACTAAGACCACAGATGCATAAAATGTTCCAGCTGACGTTGCAACTGTCCTTTAATGCTGAACATATTTTACTGAACTCGTCCGCTGAGTCAGTCTGATTACGGTTTTTATTACGCATCCTGTGTTTTGAACCAGACACAGAAGTTCCAGCCCGTAAATACATTTCAGAAGAAAACGTCACCAGAGCTGCTTTTTCCGAGCTCATCCTGAAATAACGGTGGTACAGTAATGGAATGCGGCTGACCCAAATATGACGCAGAGGTGTTTAATTCCAGCAAATGGAGCGAACGTTAACTAAACACACACCTCCAGTGTGTCAGTGTGTTAATGATGAGATAAAAATGAATATGCCTGAAGTAAAACCTGCGTCTTTCTGTGACATAACAGGAGTCACCTTCAACGTCAACATGCAATTAACAAATAAATCATCCCCGATGCCTGATTCATGCTGTTGATTTATTTGTCCAGTAGGTTACCTCTGGCTGGAAATAATGTAAACAAGTGACAAAAAGACATTATGTTAGAGATGTTAATGATGAATTTAAGCTTTTTTTAAAAATTAAATAATTAATGTTTCACATCATTGTCTTGTTGAAGCTCCAATGCTGCCCAAGGAGCAGTGTTCCTGCAGACCTCCTGATGTTCTCCTCTGTTCTCATGAAGCCGTTTCCTCTGACCAGGCTGTCTGGTCCGTCGGCTCAACAACAGCCCCAAAGCATCACGTTCCACCACCATGTTGGACCGTGGGGATGCTGCTCTTGGCCTTGGATGCTTCTCCTTTCTCTGTGTCCAAACATCTCCATGTTGATGAAGTGATGAGCAGCAGCTTTCTTCTTTGTCTTGGAGAAGTGGATCCTCCTTGGTCTCCATGGAGACCAGCCTTGTTGTTGGTCTGCTGGAGTGTCTGATCAACATGTTGGTGCTGGGCCTTGGATTCTTCTTGGCCTCACGTCTGTCCTCCTGCAGCTCTTTGACATGTTCCACAGTGAGGGAGTCCTTGGATTTTTTCATGACGCTTCAAACTGTGAACCTTGAAAACACTTCATGTGACTTTATTGCCTTTAAACGGAGGTCCTCACTGGGCTCTTTGATTTTCTCCTTGACCTGGAACTGACTAGAGAACTACTGCATCAGGTGTTCTCACTTTAAAGTCTATTAGAATGCTCTAGAACATGGCAGAAATTACCAGTTTAATTTAGAATGGCATAGAAGATACGTTTTTTTTGCTTGTTTTTTTTTTTTTTAAATCTTGCAACAATTTTAAGAGCTATGAATAACTTTTGACTTGTATTTTTTGTAAAAATGTAAACAAAATCATAGAAATGCATCATTTACTTCTCTAACACAGTGTCTTACTATCTTTTATTCCCTGTTTGTCATTTTCATCCAGAAAAGACTCGACAACTACTGCATCAGCTGTATTAGAACGCTGTGGAACGTGGTAGAAATGACTGTTTCCTCTGGGGCGACCTGGTTGAACCTGCCAGTAGCATATGCTTGTCTCAAAGACTAAGCCATGCAAGTCTAAGTACAAACAGCCCCTACAGTGAAACTGCGAATGGCTCATTAAATCAGCTACGGTTCTGAATAGCCATAGAAGCTGCATTTTCTCATAAATTTGCGACAATTACAAGAAGTAGGAGTGAGTCTGGTCTTTTTCATTTTAGTTTAAATGTAAAAGAAACCAGCAGAGAAACAGTTAAAATGTATCATTAACATGTCTAAGAAAGCGTCTTCCTGCATTATGTCTCTTGTTTATGTCATTTTCAGCCAGAAGAAACTTACTGTAAATCAAAATTTGGAAGCAGCCTGAGATCATAAGACTCGATGTTTAACTTAGGCGACGCAAGCTCATATAAAAACAGCTGTTCACTGGTGATTTTGATGGATTTCTATATGAGTATTTCTATATTAGGATACGAGCTTTCTCCTCTGATGGGTGACTAAACGGCCGAGACGAAAACAGTCGCGTGAGTCAGATGCTGAGGTTTGATATCCAGAGAGGAACATCCGTCACACAGTTTACTCTACCTGTCTTCCCTCCGCCACTTCCCCTGGTGTCCCTCAACCTCCCAACCCCTCTAAACTCCTCTGCAGGACTCTGTGTGTGTTGTTGTGGACTGTGTTGCCGGGTTACAGGTGAAGAGACAGTGCAGACATAAACACTAGAGTGTTGAGTTCATCGTTACAAGGCCGTCGCTCGCTGCTATACCTCCTTTCTCTCCCTCTGACACAAACACACAGTAAAAAGCAACCCAGCAAACGTGACACATGGATCGGAAAGGGATGCATGTTTATCGCAGCACATGTGGCGTCCGCGTTCACCTCTCGTATGTGTGTCGAGGCTTCTTTGTGCTGCATAAAAAAAGGAAAAAAAGCAATCACAATCATGCCTTTCAGCGCCGCTTAACAATCTGCTTCCCGTCTCCCACTGCCAGAGAGATGGGTCAGAGCGTCGCGGCCTCGGCTGCTCGGCAAAAAAGTCAGCGAGGAATCGAGGCTACCCGAAGAAAGAGACGGTTGTGAGTATCGACGCTCACGTCACGCATCACCTGCAGCCTCCACGCGTCCTCCAAGACGTGCATCCACAGACACGCAAAGTGGTTCCAAGTTTCTTTTGTTTATTGGGAAACAGAGCTGAAAACGCCCTTTACAAAACAACTAATTATTGCTCATAAAACAGGCATTGCAAGACATTTCCAACTGTTGCACAACATTCAACAGTTGGCCGCACATTTGGGAATAACACAACAACAACGACGACGTCAACAACAACAAAAAAAACCTAATTGAATCATGGGAGAAGCTGCTAATGAAGCCACCAGAGTCTGGGAGTGAGATTTGAATATATCAAGTCAACGAGTTGCATAAATGCATGATTAGCAGCTGTCGGCATTAGGAACCATCTACCAGTTTAATTAAGCATGCACAGCACCTAATAATCATCTTGTAAATATAATAAAATAAGCTAAAGTAAATGTGTGTCTGTATTGAGGAGGAAATTTAACTTCTAACCTGGGAGATTGTGGGCTTTTAAAAGGGGTTAAAGAGGGTTTATTCACCTTACTATGGTGTATTTGACAGAAAATAGTCACATTTGCATCCATAGTCGCTTCTCAGACATTGAAATGGCAACGAACAAATGTTTAAAGATGGAGTTTTAGGGTTCCTTTAACAGTTAGGAGTGAATGAGAACAGCTCTCTCTTCTTACAAGTTATTTAGCAGAAAAAAAAGACAGATGGCGCAAAACAATGATTAGTACTTGTTTTGTTGCAGTTGGAGTCTGTAGTTTTTATTTCCTACGTGGAATTTTTGGGCCTTTGTTCACTTTTAGCATAATTTTTTAGGTTTATTTGACAGAAAATAGATTGTAAATAAACCTGAGTTGGCTGTAAAGTCAAATTTGCATCCATAGTCCCTGCTGAGATATTGAAAAGGCGCCATAAAAGAGGGGCGGTTTTATGGTTAATTTTACAGATAAGAGTGAATAAATACTTCTTGCTTCACTTTTTGTTTGTTCTAACTAATTTGCATCCGCAGCGTCTGCTGAGACATTGAAAAGAGCTTAAAAATTCTTGTTTTTTGGGGGATATTGTTGCAGTTGTGGCAAAGTCCTCACTTCTTAAAAGGGAATTCTGAGGGTTTATTTGCATATTCATGTAATTTTCTACGTGCATTTGACAGACAGAGAAGACAGTGAATAACCCTGAGTTGGCTTTGGAGTCTAATTTTGTTCGTAGTCTCTGCTCAGACATTTCAAATGCACATAAAACCACGTGGTGTTTGGGTTAACGTTACGGTCGGGGTCCTGTCACCCTCGTCTGCATCGTGTCTGAGGACAGAGAGTGTTCTATGCTGTACAAACTGTAAAGCCCCTTCAGGCATATTTGTGATTTACTGGTATGGGGACGTATAAATAAAAGTGACGTGATGCACACGTGCACGTCTCTACATCATGGTGTCCTTCTCCTCCTCGTCTCCTTTCTGCTTGCCTCCTTTCTTTACGCGTTTGATCACGATGATGAAGATGATAGCTGCGACAGGAGGAGACAGAAAACAGACGTGAGCTGCAGGGGAGACCGAAACACAGCAGGCAGCAGCACAAAGCTGCTCAGCGACACCGTTTAAAGGAAAACTAGTGTTTTACCAGAAAATAATAAATGGCGGACTCACCACAGAAGGCCAGAATGCCGACCAGGATACCGACGGTGGCTCCCGTTCCGTACTTGAATCCATGTTTACCCGGTGTCATGTAGCAGTAGCCCAGTTCTGTGCAGTTACACACTCTCACTGGTGCGTAGAAAAAGAGACAATTACTTTCTTGATTAATAAATTAATGGTTTGGTCTGTAAAATGTCAGAAAATGCTGAAAAATTCCAATCAGTGTTTCCCAAAGATGTTTTATGTTGTTTTATCCAAATCACGGACGAGGAAAGAAAGCAGAAAATATTCACATTTAAGAAGCTGCATTAGGAGAATTTAGAGTTTCTTTCTTTCTTTCTTTCTCTAGTCGATTAATTGGCTAAAGGCTGCAGTTCTGACATCGAGTGTCATAGTATGGATCCTAACGTGCAGTAGCTGGGTTTTTTTTGGCCACTTTGGCAGTAAATTAAACAAATTCTCCTTTCAAGTCGATATATAAACATTGTTTTGCTTTTTGAGTTGTGTTTCTAACCACCTGAGCCAACATCCGTTTACTTTTAGCTCTGTTTTTGGTCTCCACCGACTCCTAAAGTTAATATCTGCTCTTTAGCTGAACTAGTAGTGAGGGTCTGGAGGTTTAATCAGACAGATGAGTCAGCTAGATCAGGCTTGGGTTGCACTGACACATTAATTGTTGGTTTTTATGGGATTTGTTGGTATTTTGGACAAAATAGAATACTGTGAAACATTTAATTTAAGCCCAACCTAACCAGTGAACTTACCCTCAAACGGCTGGTTGACTCCCATGCCTGTGCTGTCTTTAATGTTGATTTGAACTGTGAAGGTTTTGTCTTCAATCGGGTGTTTCTTCAGGATCAGTTCAGCCGTTGTATCTGCATGACGAGAAACAAAGACGACACACCAGTGAACCAATACAGAAGTTGTACCATCTCTGTGACATTTTTTCACGTGTTTTCAAAGCGTACCGTCGATTGCGCGCAGGCCCCAGTTGGGGGATTTCCTGATCAAGGCGAAGCTGAACGGCTGGGAGTAGGGGTCGTCGTCTGGATCAGTGGCCTTGATCACGACAGATTTGGTCTTCCCGAGGCAGATGAAGGCCTGACTCTCCACCAGTTTGGGGACGTTGTCATTCACATCCAGCAGGCTCACATGCACCACGCGCTCAGCAGACATCTCCGGGTTTGCTTCAGGGGAAATCATAAAAAAGTTGGTTTGACTCAAGGCTGATTTGTTGCAAAAAGGTGAGAAAAAGCCACGTTTTAATGGTCAAAGTCCTCGAACACGTGAGAAAGTAGCTATTATCCCCTTCTGAATGCACAGGTTCACATTTCACATTTTTATTTTGTATTTTTTCCACAACAGTACAAATGATTTTCTGCCAGTTGTGTTGGCAACAGTTACAGGAGGTTAGAGGAGGCACCAAGGATAAGAGAGTATGTTGAAGGTCACAGCAGAATTTTATGAAAACCACTGATTTGATCTACTGTACATGTAAAATCATTTATAAGTCAGATGATTCTGAACTGCATCACCTCTCAAGGTGAACAGTAGATACAAACACAGGTCCCACAGCAGAAACTCAACGAAAGTCAGTCCATCTTTTACTGCTGAGATTTCTATACTTACTTTTTCAATACTTCTTACGTTAACCTTTATATTCGATGACAGACTCAGTCATTCTTAACATGGACGATACTGAATTTCTGCAGAGAAGTTTTGGTAATCTTCAGACTTTTTTTTTTTTTTTTTTTTTTAAAGCTACTTTTTGCTGGAGGGGTTGTGTTGGTCTACTGTTGTCTTTAAAATAAAGGTCAAAAGTCAGGCCACATTCTCATCCAGGGAGTTTTCACACTCTTGTCTGATTTTGTTCTTTGGATAGTTTCCTGCTGGAACATTCCTCTTCTTCCAGCTTCTGCAGACTGGGAGTCATCTTATCAGCCAGTATTCTGGTTTATCCTCAGACATTCATCTATAAATGTCATCAACACCTTTTACACTCCTGCAGCCCCATATCATGATGCTGCCACCTCCGTGCTTCACTGTCAGGACGATGCATCCACTGAGGTGGTCCTGGTCAGGTTCACACCAAACATCTGGACTCCATCTGAGCCCAACACATTTATCTACATCTGACCAAAGAATGTGCTGCTTATAATATTCAGGCTTCTTTTTATATTATTTAGCAAATTTTGTGCTAAAAAAGCGAGCAAGGGTTAATTTCCTTAAAGCTGTCTATAGATGTTGATGTTCTGAAGTGTCTGTCTGAGCTTCACAAAAACTCTGGTTTCCATTGATGACCCCTGTACCAGTCTGAAGCAGCTGTCGTCTGTTTTTCACAGATAGATTGTGAAAGTAGTTGACTGTCCTTGGAGTCATTGTAGGAGGACGACCACTGCAGCCCTATCGCTACCACTACCTACTATCGCTCCTTCTAGACCTCCTGATTACTGCTGCAGCTGTGTTTCCACTGATTTTTACTTGCTCACTGATCTTCCTGTATCCCTTTCCATCTTGATGAAGTCTCACACTCAGAGGTTTCTATTCTTGGGCAATTCTCTTCCATGTGGAGCCATGATGCAGACATGAAACTGAAAAAGTTTGTTTTATAACCGTTATAACGAAGTTAGGCTGATTGGAAATCACATGTACTTAGTTTAGTTTCAGTTTCTACTTTAGGGCCTACATTTTCAATACAGACTTTCGAAAGTATTTGTTTTTGTTCATTCATAAGAGAAAATATTGTTTACCTTCAGAATATTGCTATTATAGAGAGGTGATGAAATTTAGAATAACTTGATATTTAATGGATCTGCACTGTGCTCACTTCATACTGTTGATAATAACTAAACAGCTGTATTTATGCCTGGCCTTACCTTTCTCAAAGGCAGTGACGGTGACATCAAAACTCTCCAGAGTCTCTCTGTCCATCTTCTGTTTGGTCTTTATTTCTCCCGTGGCAGCATCGATCTCCAGCCAGCCTTTAGAGTCACCTTCCAACTTAAAACTGCACACAAACACAAAACCACGCAATCATCAGTCATCGAAGCCACCACTGCACGCCTAGTCAGAAGATATTAAAAGTCATCCATGACACAGCAGACACTGAACTGGTGGCCAGAGGACACAATTGTAGGCAAAGCAAATCAATCAGTCTGCTCCACGTACACGTGATGATCCAAACAGACAAAACCAAAACCAACAGTCAGCGCTGATCGAACGGAGCAGCTTCTAAAATGTCAAAGCTGTGTGCTCAGGGTTGGGTGTGATTACTCTTTAGGCAGTCATGGAATACAAAAATCTACTGGATTACAAAAAAAGTGTCAAGTGTTATCTAAATGCTTTTGGATTCATTCAAAAGCAAACATCTGAAATATTACATCTTCTACTAAAGAAGTGGTTGAAATGTCTGGAAAGACCAACTTTTCCTCCTTTAGCTTCGCAAAACATTTTCAATACACACAAAAGTGCATTTTGCTTTTACATCATTTACAGCTGGTCAACTCTAATTCACCCAAAACACTACTACAGGTCGACTGAGCGAGTTCCACAACATGTGGGATGCTGTTTAATCTGAAAGACCACATTTAGGACTAAACGCTTGAAATACACGAGCAGGACAACATGTTCTTCTTCCAATGCAAAAACAAAGGAGCAAAATCTACATTATCCTTAAATCATCATTTAAAAACAAAAACTGACCTCAAGTTAAGTCACAAAACTGGCAGCCTGAGTCCTCACTTTAAACATATAACAAAATACAATAAAAAAAAAATAATAGTGATTTATTTTTTATCTTTAGAAAAATTATTTCATGTAATCTATTACTAGCAAAGTCCTTCAGTGCAGCCATCGAGCATTTCTTTAATGATGGTTCTTCTTTCTAAACCTCCCAAAGAAATAAATCTTCTGCTGCTCTCAGATTAAACAGATTCTTGTTATTGGTGAACCTGATCTTTTGGTGTCTGGTTAATCAGAGTTTTGAGCAGCACAACACCAAGTTTCATGTTCATCTATGTTAACTTTTAAAGGCTCAGAGATCATTTTTGGTGCTTTTATCTCATCAGGCCTGGATCACTGCTGCAGCCTTTTAACCTCCCTGAATCAAAACTCTATTGATCGACTGCAGCCTGTGAAAAACTCTGCTGTCAGATTTCTAACCAGAACTAAGAGACAAATACATCCCTCATGTTTCAGCCTCTTTCCACCGGCTAGAACCATCTTCTCATGAAAATCTGTCCAGCTAATTCAGTGTCCTCTACTTAAAATATGCTTTTACCAATAAACCTTTCCTAATTTAACAGAGTTTTAATGTCCTTAGAATGGTCTTTATTGCTTTTAATTACCTTTTTCAACACTTTTTTGGTTTTTTACACCAAATTCTGTTTTTATCTGATGATTTTCTCACCTGTCTGCACTTTGTACCTTCGACTTATTTTTTATTTTTAAGTCTTAGCACTTCTGACGAGAACACTGAGCAGTTGCAGGATTGTTGTTTTACCCGATCTCTTGGCCCTCCGGGTCCTTTGCCTCCACGGTGAGCAGAACTGATCCCTTGGTGGTGTTCTCGGGTACAGTCACATGGAGGATGTCCAGGCTGAACTCTGGGACCTCGTCGACGTCGGTGACAGAAATGGAGACGAAGGTGGTGGATTGGGAGTCGTACTCCAGGCCTTTCATCAGGGGCTCTGGGTTACGAGCATCGATCTGGAGCCTGTAGGTGGCCGAAGACTCAAAGTCCAGAGGCTGTTTGAAGGAGAAACAAGCTGGTGAGAAGAAGTGGCCTGACTTTATTTCAAAGGTCACAGCAGAGTGCCATAAAATGTACACCTGTGATTTCCAATCAGCTTAACCGCCTGAAGCCGGGTCTAAAATTAGCAATTTTTGAGACATTTAACCAGATATTTAACCATCACAATGCTTAACAACATGATGCTGCCACCACCATGCTTTACTTTATGATGCTGCCACCACCATGCTTCACAGTAGGGATGGTGTGTTTGTAATGTAAATCTTTGCTGATATGTAAATCCTTGTCAAAAAAGCCAAATCAGTTTGATTACGATTCAATTTTCCAACAAAGGAAAAACTTCTAAGGATGCGAATGGCCTGTAACAATAGAAGAGGTACCCAGCAGTTGCATAAGTTCTTTTAGTAACTGTCAGCGCAGGCAAACTTCAAAAGGAAAGTCAACAAAATCAAGTGTGTGTTTTCATGTGGGAGCTGCTGCACCTTAGCTATGACCACGTGACCGACACCTTTGCCGTCAGTTTCTACAGCGAACACGTTGTCGTCATCGCCGGCGGAGATGTGGAAATTGATGGCTGAGCTGCCGCTGTCGGGATCGTCGGCATCCGTCGCCTTGATGACCAACACAGTGTCTCCTACAGGAGTGTCCTCGGCCAGAGTGAGGCTGCCGTACTGCACGTTCAAACACAAACGGTGAAAATACTGTACAAACCACACGAGAAGCGACAAGTCCAGAGGTTCTTATACTCACATCGGTCTCCTCAAACAGAGGCTTCTCGTTGTTCACGTCAATGACCTTGACGATGACCTTACAGACTGTGCTGAAAGCTGTGGAGCAAAAACCATGAGTGCATCATCCTGGAGTAAAAAAAACAGTCTAAACTCTACATACAGGCAGCGACAGAGCCAAGGTATTAACATAGGGGTGGCCAGGCCGAGGCTACTACTCACAATGGCCTCCATTACTTTTTTTTTATATTTTCTTAGATGTAGAAGTACATGAGAATCAGTCATATTTCAAATGTTAAGCTTCCTAAATGTGATCTGATGCTTTTCTGTGCCAAACACTCGAACTGTTTGGGATCTGTTGATGCACTTCCCTTCATTTGTTGACTTTATTTCACTATATTATAAGTGTAATGAGAAAGATGATGGCTGTGTGAAACCTGAAAATTATTTCTGGAAGCAGGGAGTCAACCTCAGGGTTTCTAAAATCCTGATTAACTCAGAGTCAAAACTTAAGACATTGAGGTTTTACTTGTTAGATGATGCCATTTATTAAACATTTCAGGTCATTTTAGACACCTTTTGAGTCATAAGATGAGAAGTCATATGTGGTATGATAAACTTTTTTATGTAACCCTAAAGTCTATAAGATTTTACAATTTAAACTGCACAAGATAATAAAAGCTTGTGTCCACAGTGTCCTTGTTCTGCTCAGGATGTCAGGATTTTGTTTCTTTTGGCTGCAGGTTTCTGGATTAGTCTTAAGTTTTAGTGGGTTTTGGACAGTTTTGTGTCATTTAGGTTAACTGTTGTGTCACTTTGGACACTTTTTGAGTCCTTTTGTAATGTTTCAAGTCATTGCCGACAGTGTTTCACATATTTCGGACGAGTCATCAAACATTTTGGGCATTTTTTCTGGACTACTTTGTGAGCAAATTGCTGCACTTGTTCTTCAAAGTCCTCCCTGCAGTCTTAAGGAGTCAAAAGCTTCAACTAAATCTACAGCTGAATCTAAATCACTTTGAGTAAGAAAAAACGAACACATTCTTCATTTACATAGAAAAAGCATGTGTTTTTATTCTGTCTGTACACTTTTTGGTGATATGAAATCCTTGAAAGTTTGTGGGTTTTGGTGTAGAAGTAATTCTGGACAATTTTTGAGTCATTTTAGGAAGTTTTAAGATTTTTGGGCAATAATGTCAACTCATTTGTGAGCAGTTTGTCAGACTTGTTTCCAGAGTTCTTTAAAGTACGTTTCATTCCTGCAGTCTTCAGGAGTCTAGTTAGTCTGAACTAAACCTGAATTCTACACAACTTAACAAAGAAAAAACAGACTTTTACTTTATATAGAAAAAAAACATGCATTTTTATACTCGTTTTAGTGACAATAATATGAGAACTTTGACATTTTCTTGTTGATCAGAACTACTTGGTTGAATGTTTGGTGGTTGTAGCGTTAAAATGCATCTGCATGGAAACAACAACTATAAAGAAAAGGCTCTACAGAAAAGTTCTACCAGAAAACGGGATGTAACTCCAGTTTCATGAGGCTAACGTGCTTCCTCTCCTCTTGGCTCCGCCCCTGCCCACAGGTGTGTTGTCATGCAGACTGTACATTACCTGAGTCAGTGACCCGGACATTGAGGCTGTAGATCTGCTGATGTTTCCGCTGCAGCACACGCAGCGCCTGGATTCTTCCGTCATGGCCGTCGATGAGGAAGGTGTTCTCGTCGGGTGGACTCTGGGACACGATCTCGTAGCTCAGCTGAGAGTTCAGTGTTCCTTCTTTATCGTTGTCATGGACCTCCAGCTGTCCAACCAGGGCGCCTGCAGCAACAACAACAACAGGAAGCTATGAACACATTAAACACATTTATCTTGACTCTAAGGGCCTTCAGAAGCCTCTTTAAGCTCAAACATTAGAGCCGGTAAGAATTATTGATGAATGACTGCAGCACAGAAACAGTCACATCTTTAGAGACGTGCAAAAGCAGCAATATGTATTCATTCAGAGCAGGGTTTTTGTTTTTTAAGGTGAATATTTGCATTAGATTTGAGCATTTTGCATGAAGGTCTTTTCTTTTTTGCTTTCATAACAGATGCTGACTACAAGAATAAAGCAGCTATTGTTGTTTTTCACTGTAATAATAAAAAACAACAACTATATACTGCCATTTTACAGATATTTCCAATTTTGATAAATGACAAAAAATGCAATGTGAACCATAAAAAAGACGTTAAAACTGTAAATAATGTTTACATGAGAAGTCAGTTTTGTTTTGTTCTGTTTTTTTAACAAAGCTTGACCAATAAATTACAACCTTTTCACTGTATTTAAATCAGAACAGAATTTCACAAAGTTGTCTTGATTTTAGTTTTTTTTTCTTCACATAATGTTACAGATATTTGCCATTATTTAGAAGAAAAAAAATCTGTATATTTAATATTTTTTAAACTGTTTTTTAACGGATTTTCCTTGTTTTGTTAAACTAAAGATAATAACTACTAAAAAATAAAATATTTTTTAAAATATTAATATACTTATTATAAAATGTTAAATAGATCTTCTCTGTTAAATTACAGATTACATCCAGTAAAATCACAGAAAGAAAGTAAATTTACATGTTAACTTAAAAAAAAAAAAAAAAAAGGCTAAAACTGTAAATAATGTTCAAATTAAAATTCTGTATTTTTACAAATAGTACTTTGTCCTTTTATAAAGTGGTAATTTGACTATTTTACTGTATTTAAAGCTGCTGGAAATATATATTTTTTTACAGATATTTGAGATTTTTCTTCGTTTTCACAGTTTTTGAACATTACAGTATTCTACCATTTTTTCACATTTTTTTTTTTAACTTTTCAAGTTTTTTTCTTTTTCTTTGTTCACATTTGATCCAGTTTGCTCTAACTTAATCTCTATTAATACATTCTAAACACTTTTGTTCATTATAATGTACAGAATGAGTTTTAAAAAAATAAATAAAATCACATATATTTTTGAAGAACACGTGAGGATCTTTTTAAAGCATAAACAAGCTGTTTGGTAAATCCTCTCCTCTGGTTGTTGACTCCTGTCTGAGCGTACATGTGATCCATTCTGTCATTTATTGTAGAAATGTACAAACTGTTCCTGGATGTTGCTCTAAGTTACATAATACCGTGTTTTAGTGTTCACACTTTACAGCATTGCTAAGTTTGACTATTGTCAGATACACACAGCGAACAAAGAAAAGCAGCTGAGACAGAGAACAGCGGCTCAATAACCTTTGTACCAGCAGGTTATATAATAATCTGTAACAATGTGTGCACAGGTGGGTTCTTACCTACAGGCTCGTCCTCCTGCACCTCAAACACACTCTCCTCCTTGACACACTCTGGTGCGTTGTCGTTCTCATCGTCCACCTGGACGAAGATCTCCATCGGCGGCTCCACCTCTTTGTCGTGGTTATCTTTAGCAAACACCACCAGGATGTACTGGAGACAGAACCAGCACACGTTCAGTACTAATCCTAATAATAATCTACATGAGGGATGGCAGATCTACTATAAAGTGTTTTCTACCGAGTCCTTCTCTTCTCTGTCCAGCTCCTCCGTCAGCAGGATTTCTCCATCTTCTGTGATCTCGAAGGGGAATCTCAGCTCTCGCTCTTTCTGCACCAGCGAGTAGACGGCATCGGGCTCGTTGGACTGGACCTGGATGCAGAGAGAGGAGGGACAGAAGGTCAGAGTTCACTGTAAAATAAAAAAATAAAAGGTCTGTGAGGAAATCTCGCAGCAAAAAACCCAAATGTGTAAAAAACAGTTAAAGAAGTGTAAAAATACGAACATAACAGCAAATATCTGCTAAATAATGACATTTTGGCTGATTTAAACACAGTTAAAACAGTTTAATTTTACAGTCACACCTTTTGAAATAACAAATGACTATCAGTAAAATCCCAGCTTTGTCTTGGATGTTATTTACAACATTTGATTACAATCTTAAACCTAATTTTTCTTTGAAATAACAGCAAATGTGTGCAAAATAATCACATTTAGGCTGATTTAAATGCAGTAAAACACTGGAATTTCACACACAAACAATGTAAAATAACGGTTTTGTCTTTGATGTTATTTACAATTTTGGCTTTTTGGTTGTTTTTTTTTTACACACTTTTAAAGCAAATTTTTCTTTTAAATAATGACAAATATCTTGTATCTATGTTTTTGTGTTTGTTTGTTTGTTTTTTTCTTTTCTTTTTTTTTTTTTTTAAATTTTATTACAGTTTTAAACCTATTTTTTCTTTTAAATAATGGCAAATATCTATAAAAGGATCATATCTTGACTGATTTCAGTGCAGCAAAACAATGGAATTTTATGGTCATAAATGTAAAAAGAACAAATTGCTACTTAAAAAAAATAATATATTTTTTTCCCCAGTAAACATATAAATTAATACCTTTTTCTGTGATTTGACTAAATATTATGTATTATTCAACAAACCAGGGAAAACTTGTATTTTTCAAAACCCTAATGTGCATAATTTTTCTTTCAACTCACTGCAAATATCTCCTTATGATAAAACTTTTGCTGATTTAAATTTTTAAATTTAAATTAAAAGTTGTCACCACCGTGCTTCACATCATGATGCTGCCACCACTATGCCTCACATTATAATGCTGCCACCACCATGCTTTACATCATGATGCTGCCACCACCATGCTTTACATCAGTCCAACTGCTATTTCTAAAAATGTTTGATTGTGGACATTATTGACAGTTTGAGCCTGTTTATTTTTAGGGTAAACATGTAAACGAATACTTTTTTTTCCCGGTGAATTTAGTTATTATCTGTATTTTAACAAAACAAGCTAAAAATTCACTGTTAAAAATGTGCATTTCTACAGTGTATGATGGTTAGTTAGTGGTGTAAACGCTGCCGTTTCACATCTCGGCGTCTTCTTCGACTCTCAGTTTTAATAAACACGTTGTGAGGAGCAGCTTCAGAACTTTTGCCAAACTCAAACAGATTTAATCTTTACGGACGTGGAGACTGTTATGGAGCGTTTATTAGCTCTCAGCTGGACGACTGTTAGTCTGTGAGTAAGTGGACGACACGGCCCGACCTGAGAAGAGACAGAACAGCGACCCGGTTCTGGCTCATTCGGACTGTTTTCCAGTTAAACACAGTGTGACTCTGACGCTCTGTCTTTGGGTTTGTTTGGGTTTCAGGTTAGTTTTAACCTCATATTTAGTTTAGTCGGGTGATTTATTCGTGTATTTATTATTGTTGGTTCTGAAACTCAACGTTTAAGTTGGACGGATGAGAGTTTGTTTGACTGTAATATTTAAACTAGTCAGGTGAATCTGTAGTTTATAGAACATTATAGATTATTATCTTTAATATCTAAGTCAGTCAGATTATTTGTATTATTTCATTTATTTATTTTTATCATTTGTCTTAACTATTATATTGGAAATACTCAGATGAATTTGTCGAATCTTTTTATGATCACTTATTATTACTTTTCATTATCTTTAATGTTTAATTATGTCAAGTCATTTCAATTATTGTTTGCATGAAGTGTTGTTGTTGTTTGTTTTATTTATAATATTATATTTATACCAATATTTAAAATGATGCCAATATATTTAAAATACTTAAAATAATAATAGTTAAATGTGTAAATTATATAATATTGTAGGGTTTTATCCTTCATGTAGAATTTTGTCCAGTAAATTTGCATTTTATATGTTATTGTAGGTTATTAACATAAATAATGAGGTTAGTCAGGTAATTTAAATGATTCTTTGTATGTAATGTTGGTTGTTTTTTATTTATAATATTCTATACAATAACAATAATATCATGAATAATAATAATAATAATAATAATAATAATAATAATTTTTCATTTAAAATAATATTGCAAAATCTTATCATTACTGTTTAATTTAGTCAGGTAATTTAAATCATAATTAATTCGAAATGGCATTGTTGGTTCTTTTTTAAAAAATAATATTCTATATAATAAATAAAACTTGCATTTCATATAATATTTTACAGTATTAACTTTGATATTTAAATTATTCAGGTATGTTTTAATTGTGTATCTACATATATAATATTATAGTGGATTCTATTATTTTACTCCATAATTTAGTACCACAAATATTATTGTGGGGTCTTATTCTAAGAATTCAATTACTCAAGTCATTTTAAAAATATAATTTAATAAAACATGATTAAGTCTTAATCGTAATGTTGAAGTTAGTGAGATAAATGTACATATTAAATCACATTGTAGGGTTTAAATATAACATTTCAACTACCCAGATAAATATTGGGTCTAAACATGAATATTCAGACTCCTCAGGTATATTTGCATAATGATTAATGTTGTATTTGTGCACTTTGGTCGCCTGTATCTCACCTTTGCGATGACCTGAGGATACGTCGTCTTCCAGTTCTCGACTATGTTGATCGGTCCGGGGTTCTCCCACAGGTTCTCCAGCACCACGATGTGAACTCTGGCGTTTCCGGTCAGCGCCGTCTCTGAAGTTCCGCCCATGTCCTGAACTCGCACAATCAGGGTGTAGTCGGGGTCCTCCAGGGGGTTCACGTTCCGCCTCCTCATCTCTGACGCCACAGGAGGGAGGAAACAGTTCAGCAGGGCTCTTATTTTGAAAAGCCGAGCCACGTGCTGAGGTTTACACTCGACCGGACTCATCAACTCGACACCCAATAAATCACAGCGCCAGCACTAATCACTGGAGTCTTCATTACAGCCAGAGTTCATCCATCCCAGCTCAGATCGTTCAGCTCTGGATCCTAAACATCGTGTTAATACGTCTTTGTTGTGTTTCTATGAGCTGGAGGATGCATCACGTGCAGAATAAGCACCACGGCGGAGCTTGTCCACCTTCAAACTACAGTTTACACATAAACAGGTTTTATCCACAACAAACTGCTCTGTTCTGTTTTCTGGACCTCCTGCTCTTCCCCAGAATCAGTTTCCAGTTTTGTACCAGAGAGAGATTCAGCTGATTCAAGCTGTTTTTATGTGGGTCATGAAGAACAGCCATAAAGAAATTACCTCTTTTACAATCGTCCTTTTGTCTCTGAGTGTCTGTGACCCGGTTTAAAATCAGTCCAGTTGTTTTAAATGACTGAAGCAGCTTTAAAGGACCAGTTCAACTCACATAATACAGATTTGTTGAATTCATTATCTGAGGGTTAGACTTTAAAGATTATGCTCCATAGCATGAATACAGATGATGTGATTTTCTTTGTTTTACGTATATAAATGATCTGTAGATCACGTTAATCACAGTAGAGTGCAGTTTGAGCCTGTTTTTATATGAATAACAACAAGTTTAAGACTATTTTTCTGTGATTTAACTCAATATGATCTGTATTTGAACACAACAATCTGTAAAATAACAGTTTAAACAGTTATCGACAAATTTTCATTCCCTAATGTACATAATTTGTCTTTCAAATACCAGTAAATATCTGTAAAATGACAACATGTTTAATAATTTAAATACAGTACAAATACTGTAATTTTAACATGTGAACATTATTTACAGTTTGGGCCTTTTTTTCTCCAGACTACATGTAAATTCATACTTTTTCTGTACTTTACTAATTGTTCTGTAATTTTTTAACAAAACTGGAAAAAATACAGTTAAAACATGTTTACCATTTTAGCAAATGTCAAAAATAAATAAAGGTTTTGCTGGTTTCAGTAGCAAGTCAGTTACTAGTTTACAGTCAGTCATTTGTCATTTTTTTATATTCATCATTGTCAGTTAATTCTGTTTGTTGTGATTCTACTTATTCTACAATTTACCTTTTTTAAAATTTTATTTAAAATAACAGCAAATATCTGTAAAACTACAATATTTTTTCTCATTTAAATGCGTAAAAACTCTGTAATTTGACAGTCAAATTTGGTAAAAGAAAGAACTACCATTTACAGCGATACAGATTTTTAATGTGGACGTTATTTACAGTTTTGGCCTCTTTTCTTGTTTTTCTATTTTGCTTTCTGTGCTTTCACCAGTAATTATCTGGAATTGACCAAAACTAGTAAAATCAGTAAAATAGCAGTAACCTGTGCAGGTAAATGTTATTGTCAGTGTTCTGTGGACTGACCCACCTGCTTTCTCCACGCAGGTGAAGAAGGGGTTCTGATCGTAGGGGACCTTGGGCTCTGAACAGTAGTCGTTGAACTTGGCTCTCAGGGCGTCGAAGCCCATGTTGTCTCCTGCTCGGCTGTGCAGGACGCCCTCTCTGGCCTTCAGCATCATCTGCCCTGCAGACACACACACACACATCAGACAACGTTAATCACGCTGCCTCTCGGCTCATTCACATGCTCGCGGCGTCACGCGACACATTTAGGCAATCTGCCTCCAATCAGCGTTAATCTTGAGGGCACAAGATGAGCTGTGTAATCTGGATTTACAGTGGCGCTATACTGCCAGATTACAGGCGCAGATGAGAGCCTTTCCCAGGACTCTGTGGCCTCCGAGTCTGGCTTCACGTCACCTGCGCTGGTGGTGGAGATCTCTCCGGTGTCGGGGTCGATCTGGAAGAAGGCGATGTTGTTCCTGTTGGGGATCTGGCTGACCAGGCTGTAGGTCAGCTGGGCGTTCGGGGTCGTCGGGTCGTCCCGATCCGTCGCAAACACACTGGTGAACGGGATACCTGGAAACACAGACCAAACCCACGTCAACACTCTGAACCTGAGGCAGTTTCTGAGGATTTAGTCATTTATTTTATGCTCCTGTCACTGCAGTGTAAAGTCCTGCTGCTGCTCTATAG